ATATATATACTTTATCGTATTGTGCGAATATAGTTTAACATAATTGATATATTAATCAGTTCTTTATAAATATATTTGTAAGATAAACAAAATATATTTTGATAATTTCTACCTCTTTAAAGGAATTAATCATCAATTATTAATTAAGAATATTTATATATGATATTCTGCATTAAAAAATTAACGCATTATTTCTTAATGAAAGAAAACATTTTATAAAAAACAAAATAAAAATAAATGATATAATTTGATCATACCTAATATAATTCCTACTTATGATTTTTGAGTGGCACACGAAGGTTATAATTATTTGACCTTTTATAATGATCAATGTGATAGGACTGAGAAAAAGAAAGATTATAAAAGGAGTGACCAACTCCGCAGAGTGAATCATGAGAAGAGACAAAATGTGAGGAAGGTGCCTCAGATATTTCCTTTCATTTCATTTCATTGTCCTACTCATACCTTTCTGTACCTCTGTGATTGAGTGTGCATGCCCTACTAAATTAAAGCACATTAATTTGATTGCATAATTGCATTGATATGTTGTTCATCAAACCCTACGAAACAACTCTGTATGATCACATTTTTAGAACAAAGTGATATGCAAAAGATTTATTTCTGAGGTAGAAGTAGCAGCTTAACATTATATAGATAAGTTTCTTCAAAAAAAAATATATATAAAATATGAAAATTATAAAATAAACTCTTTTATAAACAAAAATTAACCTATACTAGGAATGTAAGTGAGTTGGGTCCGGCCAGGTTTGGATAGACCCGTTACCCGATCCAATCAAAATTTAACGGATTAAGTTGGGTTAGATTTGTGTAAATCTTTTTTAAAAATTCAATTTTATCCAACCCAATCACAACTGGGTTGAGTTGAGTTAAGTTAATCGGGCCAATATAATTGTATTTATTTATTTTTAAAAAAATTTAAATATATTAAAATAAATATAAATCATTTAGTTCATTGTTGTAAATTCAATGTTATCAATCTATAAAGTAAACAATAATACAAATTAAATTCTAAAATAAATTTATTAATTTATTACATTATTATCAACTCAAAACATTAATATTAATTAATACAAAATAAAATTTAAAATAAATAAATATGTTATATTGTTACAAGTTTATATTTTGTGATATTTTTTACTATTTTAATTGGTGTAAAGTATAATAGCCATGTAAAATAACTAATTATATGTCAAGTGTCTACTTACCCAAATTAATAGTTTTTAAATTCTTGAAAAATCTTATACGTGATGATGTAAAGAATAATGATCATTACTAACCAGTTTACACGTTCTACAACCAACCATTTTTTATTAATATTTTCGAAGCATAAATACCAAGTTTAATGATGGGTTACTTATTTGCGTTTGAAAGTAATTATAATATAATTATACAACATAGTATATCTTATTTCACATTTTGCATTAATTCTAACTACATAATAATAGGTTAAATTAAAATTAGCATTTACACATGGCAAACATTTTCAATATAATCATAGGAAAAAAATTTCAATCCCCAGAACAATACAAAAAATTAATCTGTTTTCAGAGTAAATTTTTAATTCGATATTTGACAATAATATTGAAAAATCTGCTTAACATTGTAAAAAAAAAAAAGCTTTTAAAAAAACATACAAAACATTATTTTAATGAATAAGCTGTACCAAAAGTTGAAGACTTGCAAGAATTTTATGTCATTCATATAAGTTCATATATACTTCACATAAGCCCTCCCAAATACCTTATTTATATGTATATAATTGACAATACAACAGAAGCAAAAATGTTTTAGAACTTGATTTTTTTTTTTATTAAAGCTGCGTTTTGAAGGGCACATAGTTATAATTTATCAGGGCGGCATGATTGACTTTTTTTTATATTAAAAAGTGTATTATATTATTATTTAACTGCATTGCATCTGGATCCTCATGAATGGCTCATAAGCAAAAAACATTAACACAATGAGCTAAAGCAAAACTAGTTTGGGATTTTAATTTATGAGGCTGTGAACATGTTTCAACAGAAATGACATAAATAGACTTTTAAAATACAAACCAAGGTACCAAACTATAACAAAAAGTCCAACAATGGCCATAGCAGAACATGTAGAGACTCGGTTCAACCTAAAGCCACTTCAACATCAACTGTGACATGATTTACTCATAGATCCAAGAGTGTTGGGAGCTTTGCCAGTTAGCAGCGCCCTCAGGGAACCACAATGCAATTTCCTTGCGAGCACTTTCAACAGCATCACTTCCATGGATAACATTCCTACACAATAAAATGTTAATTAAACAAGGTTCAAGGTTCCCTCCTCTAATTAAACTATGAAAGTAACAAAAGATTTGTTTATCTTTTCAGTCTATAATTTCATAAATTTTATCTTTTAATCTATGTAGTTAAAAATGTTTTCTTTTAGTCCTAGTATTATATTATTAAAAGGACTACAAGGTAAAATTACAAAATTATAAGGACTAGGAAACAAATACAATATGCATGAAGACATAGTAAAGTTCACGAAACTATGAGGACCAGAAAGCTAATTAAACCTTAATAGAATACAGACCTAGATCCACACGGTGATTAACATTGACTAAAATACCAACAATTTTAACACTTATGACTATAAATAGATGCAGAACATGGATTTGTGAAAATCAACTCCCTTAATTTAACATGTAATAAGCAAAGTACAATAATAACATCATAATGAAAAAAATAGGTTGATGATACACTTGTTTATAAAAATACAAGGCTTTGGAAACCAATGTTGTATTTGTAATAAGAAAAGCACACAAAATGTACAAATTGAAATCAAACAACAACAAAGCCAACCGAAGATCTATATAGCCAAAATTAGAAATAAGGGCAATGGAAACACATCCATATTCGTGCAGTCAAAACAAAAGATTTGGATACAATTTTCTTGAAGAACAAGATTATGATGAAAAATGAGTCTATACCTTCCAATGTCAATAGCAAAGTCACCACGGATTGTTCCGGGCTCTGACTGAGCTGGGTTGGTGGCTCCGATGATCTTACGGCCAGTTGTGACAACATTCTTACCCTCCCAAATCATGGCAACAACAGGGCCAGAGATAATGTAGTCCACCAATCCACTAAAGAAAGGCTTTGCAGACAAGTCAGCATAGTGCTTCTCGGCAAAAGGGCGATCCACAGTAACGAGTTTCAAACCTGAAACCAACCATAACAAACAATCATTAAAAACCATCCATACCTTGTCAAACAAAAGTTTGGGGGTTGAGAATCGTGTATTTTCAATAGAAGGCTTAAACTTCCAAGCATCAAATTAAGAACTCTTTATGCACCCAATGTATAGGCAAAAGTACCAATTCTAACATAGGAAATAAATAGTAATCAAGGTATTTTTACTTGGTCAAACGAAAAGACATGTTTTAAATTTGACTAGGATGCTGTTACAGACAAAATTTAGTATACTGTCATGTAATTAAAAAGATTACCTTTCAAGTAGAAACCCTTCTTCTCAAATCTGCTAATAATCTCACCAATCTGAAACAGAACCAATTTTTCAGAAAATTATTAGTAAACCTCAAATCACAAAAATGAACTTGTTCAAAGCATCTACACATACATCCAAAGCTAACATCAAATCATCAAAACAGCCATCGACCCATTTTCTGAAAAGCCATAAACAGCAAACCCATCCTCTCATAACTAGTAATTTTCCACAAACCCAAAAACTGATCACCAAAACAATCATCGACCCATTTTTAGCAAAGCCATAAATAGCAAACCCATCTTCTCAAAACACAAAATTTCCCAAAACCCAGTTCATAGATCAAACATTTACAAAAAAAGAAAAACTTCACTAAACCCAAAAGCACCCCATAAAGAATTGCTAGGAAATTTCCACACAGAAGCACCAGATGCCAAAATTCTTTACAAAATCCATGCACAAGTCCCAATTTTGCACAGACCCAGTTGAAATTTAACAAATAAAAGAGAACAAAAAATAGAGTTGTGAAGAAGAAAACGCACAAGGCCTCTTTGGACGCCATCAGGCTTGATCATGATGAAGGTTTGCTCGGCCATCTCTCTCTTTTGATGTTTGAATTGGGTGTGTGTGAGTGAGAGAGAGCGTAAGGTATACGGTAGAACGAGAGTGAGAGAAGAGGGTATTTATATACGGGCGCGGATGAAGAACGCTCTCAACCCTAACCCTAATTTTACAAACGAATATTCTGCCTTTGCCGTTGGAATCATTTCTTTTCGCACTTTTTTCATTTCTTTTCTTGTCTTTTCTTTTCTTTTCTTTTCCACTGACGGGGATGTATTTCTTACATTTGTATAATTTATTTATTTTAAAAAGTATACTAGTATATTTTCTTCTAATACCTATAAATTCGGATTCTATCTTTTATGTTGAAAGATTTTGTATATTTTATTTTAATACCTACATATTCGGATTCTCTCTTTACAATGAAAGATTAGTTGTAACAAAAGTTTAAAAAAAAAAAAAAAAAAGAAGGATTTTTTTAAGACGGTTATATAATTAAAAAATTTATAATATAATATATTTAAATTTATATATAATTTTTGATCATATAACATATAATTTAATCATTTTTTATTTTTTTTTATTTTTTTATCATTTCTATAAAATTCAAACATTTCATTTTTTGGTTTTTTATAAAATTCATTATAAAAAATTAATCTAATGATGTCATCACATGTCATGATGACATTATTATAATGCTATCATGTGTTAAATCAGCATAATATCATATCATTTGTATTAAGTGAGCATAGTATCATGTTAACATGTCATGTTAATAACATAGTAAAATATTAAAATGAAACAATTACAAAATTAAAATAAAAGAAAGATTATATAGATAAAAAATGAAAAAAATTATTATACATGGACTTAAAGAAAATAAATAGTGTCATATAAGTTAAATATAATGTATAATTTTAATTTAAAATAACATACTTTAAAGATTAAATAAATAATAATAATTTTAAAAATTACTTATTTTTTTCATATTTTCCTTATTTAACATTACAAGGTATGACACTTATGAGAGAGAGATATATGAAAGAGAGTTTTAGAGAATTCAGTAAATTGTATTATTGATGAATGAAAAGATGTCTGCAAGGATTACAATAAGCGTATATATAGACATAACCAACTTCTAACTAACTATAACAGTTAACTAACTTCAATACACTTAATAAAGGTGTTTATTATTCTATTCTCTAATATACCCCCCACAAGCTCAAGGGGGATGAAAGATAGTGGACGAGTCAGTCACATTGAGCTTGGACCTAAGAAACAGGAATCTCTTGGGCGACAGAGCTTTAGTTAAAACATCTGCATATTGATGCTGAGCAGGTATGTGTGAGATAATAAGAGCTTTGCTTAACACCTTCTCTCGAACAAAAAAGATGTCTAGTTCCATATGTTTAGACCTTGAGTGTAGCACAGGATTGTGAGATAAAGAAACAGTGCTTTGATTGTCACAAAGTACTTTGGGAGTATTAAATTTGACTTACAATTCCTTTAGAAGGGATTGAAGCCATAATACTTCAGTAACAGCTTGAGCCAAGGCTCTGTATTCAGCTTCAGTGCTTGACCGTGCAACAAGTAGTTGCTTCTTTGACCACCAAGATACCAGATTAGGACCAAGATAAATGCACGCAGCAGAGGTAGATCTTCTATCATTAGGATCAGCTGCCCAGTCAGCATCAGTGAATGCAGTGAGATTAAAAGGATTAGTAGATGTAGCAGGTGTGAACAGTAGACCATGACCAAGAGTGCCTTTGAGATATCTAAGTATCCGTTTAACCACTTTCCAATGCTCCTCCATTGGTAAGCACATAAACTGACTTACTTTATTAACACTAAAGGCAATTTCTGGCCTTGTAATTGTGGCATGTTGCAGAGCACCAACAATGGATCTGTATAAGGTTGGATCATCAAATAATATGCCATCCTTAGTGAGTTGTTGACCACCAATCATAGGAGTAGATATTCCTTTACAATCTTCCATTTTAACTCGAGTGAGAAGATCAGTAATATACTTGTCTTGAGATAACAACAGTCCACCTTGAGGAGTAGCTTTAACTTCAATACCCAAAAAATAGTCCAAGGAGCCAATATCCTTGAGAGAAAAATTGGCATGAAGCTCATCAACCAATTTTTGCAACAAGACCGATGAAGTACCTGTAAGAATGATATCATCTACATAGACTAGCATGTAGACAGTGGCTGTGGACTGAGAGAGAATAAACAGACTTGGATCACATTTGCTTTTGGTAAAACCAAGTTGAAGTAAAACAGAGGTCAGTCTTTCAAACCAAGCATGAGGGGCTTGCTTTAGACCATAAAGGGCCTTTTTCAACTTACAAACAAGAGTTTTGTTTCCAGATTGAACAAAACCAGGAGGCTGAGACATATAAATGTCCTCCTCAAGCACTCCATTGAGGAATGCATTGTTAATGTCCAGTTGTCGAAGAGGCCATCGAAAGGAAATTGCCAGAGAGAGAATAGTCCTAATGGTGACTGGTTTCACAATTGGAGAAAAAGTTTCTGAAAAATCAATGTCAGGTTGTTGATGAAAACCTTTTGCAACAAGTCTGGCTTTATATTTGTTGATAGAACCATCAGGATTTTCCTTGATTCGAAAAACCCATTTGCAACCAATGGGTTTTCTTCCAGAGGGTAGATCAACTAAAGTCCATGTTTGATTGTCATGAAGAGCTTTAATTTCTTCTTTCATGGCATTTAACCAATTAGGGTCAGTGAGAGCAGCTTTCATTGTCTTTGGTTCTGTGTTAGACAGTAAAAGTGTGGGAGTGATTCGTGGTTGAACAATTCCATTCTTGGAGCGAGTAATCATTGGATGAACATTAAGTTGCCTGGCAGAAGATGAGTTTGAGGGAAGAACAGGAGCAGTAGATGATTGGTGCTGAGAAACTGAAGGTGAAGGAGAAATAACAGTATCAGCAATAGAATCAGAATGCAAAGTGTTGAATCTTGAGGAGTCGGAGTTGGTGTTGAATGTAGACTGAGTTGGTGTTGACAAAGGGGGATTGTGAGCACAGATTAAAGAAGGAATTGTTGGAGAAAACAGATCATGATAGGGAAACCGCATTTCATTAAAAATAACATCCTTGCTGATGTAAATTCGGCCAGACTTACTTAAGCACTTATAACCTTTGTGGCTAGGAGAATATCCCAAAAAGACACACTCCTCGGATCTAGGTTGAATTTTGTATTGATTATACGGTCTAAGTAGAGGAAAACAGGAGCAGCCAAAGATCTTGAGAAATTGGTAATCAGGATTCTTATGGTAAATCATTTGGTAGGGTGATTGAAAATCAATTGAGGAAGATGGTAACCTATTGATTACATAGGTAGCAGTCAAGAATGCATGATCCCAAAATTTTAATGGAAGTGAGGCATGATGAATCATAGCTAAACCAAGTTCAACAACATGTCTATGTCTCCTCTCAACCATGCCATTTTGGTGATGAGCATACGGACATGTAAGCCTATGAGCAATGCCTTGTTGTTGAAGATAGGAAACCATAGGACGAAATTCACCACCACCATCAGTTTGGACAGATTTCAAAGGATATTGAAACTGTTTTTCCGCAAGAGCCTTAAAATTCAGAAAAGGAGAGAATACATCTGATTTCTTGTGAAGAAGGTAAATCCACATATAACGTGTACACGCATCCACGCACGTTAAAAAATAAGAATAACCACAACTAGATTCTAATGATGCAGGTCCCCAAACATCAAGAAAAACAAGTTCAAGTGGTTTAGAATAGACAGTTGTTGAAGATTGAGATGAAAGTCTATGAGATTTTGCAACACAACATGAATCACAAAAATCAAAATTTTTATTGATGGGAGGAACATGAATATTACAAGATTTTAAAGCCTTAGTTAGTGCATCATGATGAGGATGCCCTAACCGCAAGTGCCATTGTTTGTAAACAGTAGGAATAACCATTTTACATGTTTCAGATAGAAAAATACAAGGTTTAGAAAAACTGGAAACAGAATTTTCTGGAATATCATCTTTTGGTGATTCACTCTTTGCTAAAGATGGATGAAACCAATAAAGCCCATCTTCACCAAGTTTTCTTTCAAGAAGAGTCTCGTTCAAATCCTGTGATTTGACAACACAATAGTGAGGATAAAATACAAAGTAGACATTATTGTCTTTGGCAAATTTGGAAACACTCATCAGATTTTTGGTTATATTGGGAACAAGGAGAAGATCTTTTAAGGACAAAAGAGTAGAGGAATGAATAGGGGACCGAAACACATTAGAACCAATTGAGGTAATGGATGTACCTTGGCCATTAGCCATAACAATGTGCTCAGCTCCAGTAAATTGAGCACTTTGAAGTAAATGCTGTGGATCGGGAGTAGCATGGTGTGATGCTCCTGAATCGGGAATCCAAGTTGTGGTCGTGTTCAGGACAGGAACAGTTCGCTGTGAAGAGGAGGCAGAGTTTGAATAAGCTTGCTGAGTGGCAGATGGAGTTGCTTGAAATGCAAAACTAGGTGCTGTGAGGCCAAAATTAGGAAAAGTCGACCCAAAAGAACCACTTGATGCATGTGTAGGCCACTGTGATGACCCTGAATGTCCAAAAACATTGGGAGATCCAGAAAAAGGTTGAATTCCAGTATTAGGAAGAAAGCCAAAGTTGTGAGAGCCATAGCCGGTTTGAGGTCCAAGACCAAAGCCAAAATTCTGAGGAGCATAACCATTTTGAGATTCAAATCCAAAGGAAGTGTAAGGAGAAAAATTGGGACCAAATCGTTGATAGCATGTTGAAGCTTCATGTCCTCTTTTATGACATATCTGACACTGAATTGATGATCCACGATTTCTGCCACCGCGCGAACCACCACGACCACGTCCTCCATCACGGTTCTGACCAGACAAACCTGCATTATAGCCAGATTTGCTTGGCATTTGGGACTGCTGAAATGCCAGATTCGCACTTGGAGTTCCATTGACAGCTGAGGTAGTTTGAGCCAGATTTATTGTCAAAGGTTCTTGAATTAAAGATGTTTTGGCTTGTTCCAACCGCGCTTCTTGAGCAAGAATCATAGTTTCAATTTCACCAAGGGAGAGGGCATCATCACGACTGACAAATGCTGTGATTGTGGAGATTAACGAATCATAGTCACTTGGAAGACCTCCAAGAATGCATTCAGCATGCTCTCTGGGAGA